AGGGAAGAAATCAGCTGCTACTACCTTTACACTACAACAATGGCTCAACAGTGATCTAGCCAAACCTAATGCCGCTCAATTCCAAGCAATGAAGAAGCATATGACTCCTCTTCAACAGGAGAACCTTATTCTGGATAAAGATGGACTAATTGTCATAAACCATGGTGGTTCTATGCAAGAAGCAGAAGATTGGTGGCGAATGAAAGTGATCCCTGGCAAGGACATATCCGAAGCCATCAGGAACTACCTAGATTGCAGACTCGAACCTCACTGGAATGAGTGTCAGAATCCAAGGAATCCGGCCTCTATCAGAACAAAGGTAAATGGACTTTTGAAGAAGATTGATGAAGCTGAAGCTCAGCTAGAAGAGGAAGTTCACTAAACTCTACCATCTTGTTGCTTTAAATATCTTCTTTCACTTATGAAATAACCAGCTTGCCTCTAATTTGCTGGCAATATCAATTTTTGTGTCTTTTACTGCTTTATAATTGCTTATAAATACTTGCGTGATTGATTGTATCGTACTCTTGCTATTCTCCTATGCCAAGTGCCCACTAAGATTTGTAATGGAAGTTTTTTTTTATGGTGAAAGGCACTTCTCTGGAAATAGTTTAAGGGTTTTGGCATCATCAAAAAGGGGGAAATTGTAAGGAATAAATGTAATTAGATTTTGATGATGCTAGGATATTTAGATTATGATTTTAGAGTACCCCTACTTAGACTTTATGTATTAGAATTTTCAGTTGTAAGCATTAGTATAGTCGTCATTAGAGTTGCTAAGTGGATCTGATCAGAGCTGCTTTGTGTGAACTGCTTTCAGAGTCGCTCTCGGAAGTCATGAGAGTCGCTCATCAGAGAAGCATCAGAGTTGCTCTTCAGAGCTGCTCATCAGAAAGCCATCAGAATACTACTCATCAGAGAACCATCAGAGTTCGATGTAAAGTTTCATCAGAACTCAACGTCAGACAGGTATCAGAGTTCCTTATCTAATTTTATCAGAATCCAAGGTCAGAACATCATCAGAGAATCTCATCAGACTTGGACGAACACTTAGACAAATTTGAAGCTACGATCAACGATCAAGAAATCTTCAAACGGCTAGAAGATCTGTCATCTAAGGAAAGCATTCAATGCTCATTAAAGGAGCCTGATACGCTGTGGAGTTATTACTGATGATTGGACCAAGATTTTTGGAAGATACTTGACTAAAATAGAAACCTGCCAAAACTGCGGGTCCAACCGGTCAAATCCACAGTATGCCCATTCAATGCAGTTGTCTCCTCCTCCAACGGGCAGACAACCCCAGTATAAAAGATACTCGATGAAGAACAACCGGATAATTTTTGCTACAACTTTGCTCACCTCAACATTCAAAAAGCTCTCTTGAGATTCTAACTCTACAATCATCAACAAGACAAGCTCACGTTGGGAAGATTCAAATTTCCATATCCTCCAATCCCAACACACAGCAAAGTTCATCCTGTTCTTCAACCTTCAAGAACTTCAACCACATATCTTTTGTAACGAAGCAAGTTGGAGAAAAACTCTGTTTTTCAAAGATCTTCTGCAAAGAAGGGCGTCCAAGTAACTGCAGTAGTGAAGTGGTGATACTTCCGGGAAGCTGAGTGAAAGGACCAGTCATCAGGAAGCAGGACTGCATCCCGGGTGACAACTAGACTTGAAGAAGACGTGGAGAACTTCTTAAGTGCTAGGAACTAAGGCATTGTAACTGACGCTTTACAATCTTAGTGGAACAGTGGACTAGAGGAACGCGTTGTTCCTTGAACCACTATAAAAACATCGGTGTCATTTACTTTACTGCACTTTAATTTTTGCACTTAGGACTAAACTGTTTAACTCCATAGAACTTGGACTCTGTGCTCAGCAGATCGTGTTCTTAGAGTTATCAGAAAGGCATTTGCCATAGTTTCTCTTGAGGCTACCCAGAACTCTTATCCGCTGCAAGACCAGTTCTGATCATCAGAACTCGACCTTCTCTGATAAGTCAACTCTGACTTAGAGAAAAGTCGAAAAACTTGAATCAGTCTATTCACCCCCCCCCCCTCTAGACTGATTACCAACTCAAACGGGACCAACAATGGTGTAGCTGAGAGACGTAATAGAACCCTTAAAGAAATGGTAAGAAGTATGATTTCTCATTCTATCTTACCGGAATCCCTCTGGGGTGAGGCATTAAAGACCGCAGCTTACATTCTTAATCGAGTGCCAACTAAAGCAACTACTAAAACACCTTATGAGCTTTGGACGGGTAAAAAGCCTAGTTTAAAGCATTTTCATATTTGGGGTTGTCCAGCTGAGGCAAAGCCATATAGGCCACATGAAAAGAAACTGGAACCCAAAACAGTTAGTAGTTACTTTATTGGTTACTCGGAGCGATCTAGGGGATATAAATTTTATAATCCCGAGGATAAAAATATTTTTGAGACGGGAACTGCCATATTTTTCGAGGATGTTGAGTTTGGGGGGAAGAATAAAGTTAGGGATATTGTCTTTGAGGAAGAATTGATTTCAATACCTGAACCAATTCATACGGATGTTTCCTTTGAAACTAATGAGGAACCTCAACAAGGCATTATTTCATCATCTCCTTTCCAAACTGAACAAATTGTTCAAAAATGAACAAACTCAACTTCCTCTGGAACAAGTGCAACAAGAAAACGTGTCATTGCGGCGATCCACTAGAGAGAGGAGATACGCAATTCCGGATGATTATGTTGTATATCTCCAAGAACATGCGTCAAGCATGGATATAGAGAACGATGTCCTTGTGTTTATTCAAGAACATGAGGAAGAAAGTGGTGTTATGGAAGGTGATCCGATCAACTTCCGTCAAGCCATGAAAAGTTCAAATTCTCAAAAGTGGATTGTGGCAATGAATGAGGAGTATAAATCTATGCAAGACAATAAAGTTTGGGAACTCGTCCCATTACCCGAAGGTTGTAAACTCATTGGTTGTAAATGGATATTTAAAACCAAAAGGGATTCAAAGGGTAATGTGAAGAGATATAAAGCCCGTCTTGTAGCTAAAGGTTATACTCAAAAAGAAGGAATTGATTATAAAGAGACCTTTTCTCCGGTTTCATCAAAGGACTCTTTTAGAATCATTATGGCTTTAGTTTCACATTTTAATTTAGAGCTTCATCAGATGGATGTTAAGACGGCGTTTCTCAATGGTGACATTGATGAAACTATTTATATGGTGCAACCAGAAAATTTTGTGATTGGAGATCCAAAACAAATGGTTTGCAAATTAACAAAATCCATCTATGGGCTGAAACAGGCTTCTCGTCAATGGTATCACAAATTTCATCAAGTCATTTTATCCTTCGGTTTTAAGATGAATGATGTAGATGATTGTGTATATCATAAGTTCAGTGGGAGTAAAATCTTTTTCCTGGTCTTATATGTTGATGACATTCTTCTTGCCACTAATGACATAGGCATGTTGCATGAAACCAAGAGATTTCTATCAAAACATTTTGAAATGAAAGATCTTGGTGAAGCCTCCTTTGTATTAGGAATTGAAATCCTTCGTGAGAGATCACAAGGAATCTTAAGGTTATCACAAAGGAACTATGTCGATAAGTTCCTTAAGAGATTTGGCATGGAAGATTGTAGACCGTGTGATACCCCTATCTCTAAAGAAGACAAGTTTAGTCTCGATCAGTGCCCTAAAACAAATTTGGAAATTCAAGAAATGAAAAAGATTCCCTACGCATCTGTTGTAGGAAGTCTTATGTATGCCCAAGTTTGTACGCGTTCGGATATTGCGTATATTGTTGGGATGCTAGGCAGATATCTCAGTAATCCAGGAATGGCTCATTGGGTGGCGGCCAAAAGAGTTATGAGATACTTAAAGAGGACAAGGGACTATATGCTTACATATAGAAAATCATATCATTTGGAGGTCGTTGGATACTCCGACTCTGATTTTGCCGGTTGCAAAGACACTAGTAGATCTACTTCAGGCTATGTTTATCTACTAACGTGTGGTGCTGTATCTTGGAAAAGTGTTAAGCAAGATATGATAGCTACCTCAACTATGGAGGCAGAGTTGTTGGCCTGTTTTGAAGCTTCAAACCATGGAATATGGATGCGCAATTTTATTGATGGGCTGAAAATATAAAATGATGTTTCAAAGCATATCAAGATATTTTGTGACAACAATTCTACGGTGCTTTACTCTAACAACAACAAGAGCTCGAGCAAGACAAAACACATTGAAGTGAAATATCGAGCTATTAAAGAAAGGGTTCAGAATAAAAGGGTCGTTATTGAACATATAAGTACAAACTCCATGCTAGCGGATCCTTTAACCAAGGGTCTCCCACCAAAAGTTTTTCATAAGCATACTGCTCACTTGGGAGTCATTGATTTTAAGGAACCTCAACTTTAGTGGGAGTTTATAAGTTATGCTTGATGTTCTATTGCTTTATGAATTTATTTTCTGATCAGAATAAAGTTTGACATTTGGTGTATTCTGAACAATTAAGTTATTAAAGTTTAAAGTTTAGTAAAGAAGGGTCAGTTGAAAATTTACATGTACATGCCACATTTCATGTAATTTTCATGCTACACATTTCATGATTGATCTATGTCATTATGTACTATTGATACTAGTGATCATTGATGGTATAGTTATGTTTAACATGACAAAATGCTGCAATGGTTCTATATTAGTATGCCTAATGGACAAGATTGTTTAAGGATGTTATTTTATATGATGGTATTTTTGAGCTCATAAAGTTAACACATTTTGCTAAAGAATTACATATAAGGCCCAGTGGGAGATTGTTGGAAACAATAAAAGGGGCCTAATATGTAATTAATTAATATGTGTTTACCATCAGATAAATAATACAGTGGCTATTCATGAAATAATAAAAGTGTAAATACCAGGATAATATATTTGTTTTGGTGACGGGTCAAATTAAATATATTATACTAAAGTGATACAACGGTTATGACCCCCGGTGCGTGTAAATTAAGAGATAACAGTAAAGATATTGTAACGGAAAATGGCCTAATAAATTATTTTAAATAAATATCAATATTGTAATAATAATAAAGGAGTTATTAGAATATTAAGGGGCCAACCGTTACAATGGAAAACTACTCCTATAAATATCCCATTGTTATGTATTATGGATGTCCATTAGTTCATAGCCCGAGCCCATGTGTACTGGCCCATCTGATGATTGTAACCCTAGCTCCCCTCTTATATATACATCCTCATATATGAATGAAAGTAAGCTTTTGATCTGGTTTATTACACGTTTTGGAGGATTTGGTGTTTTTTCGGTTCTCAACTTTGCTCCGCTCAGCTTTGCCTTAGGACCCATCCATCGAGCTTGATCGGCGATACCCAATCTTGCCGCCAACCTCAACTACACCCTCCCTCCTCTAGGATTTGCCGCCGAAAACAGACTTTCCTGAATTCCTTACCAGGAAACAACATTTTCAGTCAGACCATTATCTCGTAGAGGAGCTCGAAGACCGATTGCAGACCCCTGATCTGAAATCATATCTCAATCATATACCATATTTTTGGCCTCTTCTCTTGGGTCAAATAATAACTCTCTTTGCTGGGCCCTATTTCTGGCTTTTAGCGTTCGGTTGACCTCTTTTTAGCTGCTTAGGTTCTTTTATTTTCTCCTTTCCATTTGCATAACTATTGTAACCTCCATCTTCATGAATAAAAATTCTATTTGGTAATAAAAAAAAATAAAAAAAAGGCTGGCTTAGAATCTTCCCGTTTCGATGAATTCCATTCTTCACCGCACGATTGCATCAGTCATCGGCTACAAGCAGAGATAAGTATTTAATTACTTTCTTATTTGGGTTAATATATATACAGAGTATATGAATATGCTTTATTTTATCACATACATTGCTTGATTCTATACATAGTATGCGCAGTGCGACTGTATATTGATTGAATATGCTAAATTAGTACTCCGTACATAACTTGACCCTAATGATAATTTATTTTTATTTTGATATTGTCCGAAGATGACTGAAATTGAACATATACCACTAGCTTTATACAATTATCTCATGGGTATATGTGTAGGAGTATCTATATTTGCTTCATAGTAGACCTTCCAAATACCAAATCATTTCCAGAAACTAGTCACTTTCTCTTTTCTTGCTAAGCAATGTTCACTCAAAAGAGGACCGATTATTCAGAAAAACAGTGGCCTCCATCTTCGTGAACAGTTGTTATGCATGTTCTCGTTTTCTTTTCTTGTACCGATAATGGTGTCTAACTGGACTAAAGTTGTTGACATTGACACTTCCCACAAAGTAGGATTAAGAAATGTTGAAAGAGTTTATACACGAAAGAAGGAGGAAGGCAAATGTAATCGGAAAGCTTATCTATTAAAATGAGAAAACAAAAGGCTTAATATATATAGCCAATTACAAGAGTTCTTGACCACATAACAAGCTAACAAACTCCTACTTTGTAGCCATACTCTAACGTGCAAAACAACTCAACTATCATGCTGCAAATGCTCCTAAATAATAGGTAAGAATAGTAGACTTATTCAAATGACAATAATTAAATGAATATTAAATAAAACAGCCCAATGCTACGTATGCATGTACACATGCATGATTAAGTTGGATTATTCTCAACACCACCCCTTGATCCAAGCTTGATCATGCCAATTCTCTTCACAAAATGATAGTGCTTCGCATGGTTGAGAGCCTTTGTAAACAAGTCTGCATTTTGCCATTCTGTTCCACAGAACCGAAGTGAAATCCTTCCATTTGCCACTAGTTGCCTGATGAAGTGATACTGGACATCAATGTGTTTTGTTCTAGAATGATAAGATGGATTTCTCGCCATTGCTATAGCTGATTTGTTGTCACACCATAGCTCAACACTTTAAGTCTGCATACATCCCAAATCTGTTAGTAGCTTGCTTATCCATAGAGCTTGTTTTGCTGCAGATCCTGCAGCCACATACTCAGCTTCTGAGGAATATAAAGCAATGGTTTCTTGCTTCTTTGAACTCCATGTTACTGCTCCTGAACCTAGGTCAAAGACTGACCCTGACATGCTCTTCCTATCATCCACACACCCAGCCCAATCACTGTCAGAATATCCCCTTAATTTGAAATCTTTCACACTTGAATACCAAATCCCAAACTCCAAAGTCCCTGCTACGTATCTCAGGATCCTTCTTGCAGCACCAAGATGTTGCTTTGTAAGCCTTTGCATATATCTTGACACAATACTAACACAGTAAGCCAAATCAGGCCTTGAATGTGTTAAGTAATTGAGTCCTCCCACCATGCTTCTATAAAGGGTGACATCTGCCTCCTCAGTACCATCATTCTTCTGTAGTTTTTCACTTGCATTCATAGGTGTAGCTATGGTTTCACACGCCTCCATGTGAAATCTTTTAAGCAGGTTAAGAGCATATCTCTTCTGGCATAGAAAAGTACCCTCTTTTCCCTGCTTTACTTCTAAACCAAGGAAGTACTGAAGCATACCCAAATCAGTCATCTCAAACTGATTGGTCATGGAATCTTTAAAAGAGGTTAGCATGCTTTGGGAAGAACTGAAAAGGATGATATCATCAACATACAGGCACACAACTAGGAACTCCATACCTTCTTTCTTGACATATAAAGTGGGCTCATTATCACTCTTCTGAAATCCTGATGTGCAGAAGAAGGTGTCAATTTTGCTATACCATGCTCTAGGGGCCTGTTTTAGCCCATAAAGTGCCTTCTTGAGCTTGTACACCTTTTCTTCCTCCCCTTTCTTCACAAAGCCAGGTGGCTGATGAACAAACACTTCTTCAAGCAAGTCACCATTTAGGAAAGCTGATTTGACATCCAACTGATATACAGGCAGCTTCCATTGTGCAGCTAGGGCTAGAACAATCCTCACAGTTTCAAATCTAGCTACAGGAGAGAAGGTTTCTTCATAGTCCACCCCTTCTTGCTGAACATAACCTTTGGCTACTAGTCTAGCCTTATGCTTAGAGATACTCCCATCTGAGTTGTATTTAGTCCTGTACACCCACTTCAAACCAATGACATTTTTCTCCTTAGGCAGGTTCACCAACTCCCAGGTCTTGTTCTTTTCAATAGCATTGATCTCCTCTTTCATTGCTTGTGTCCACTCAACACAAGTAGCAGCTTCTTGATAGTCTGCAGGTTCAGTAACAATAAAAGCAAAGTCACAAGATTCATAGATATCTATTAGTGACCTTACTTTTCTAGGCTGATCACTTGATGAGGTGTCAGATTCTGAGCTTTCATCAGAAGATGAGGATGATGATGTTGTTGGAGGAGAGGAGTGGTTGGATGCAGTTGGAGTGGGCTGAGGAGAAGACTGTTCTTCTAGGCTTACAACTCTGGGTGTTGGAACTTCTTGTTGAGCATTCTGATCCCAGTTCCACTCTGCATCTTCATCAAAAATGACATTTCTGCTTATAATGATCTTCTCAGTAAGGGGATTATACAGTCTATAGGCCTTGGACTGAGTTGAGTACCCCACAAAGATGCATTTCTCTGCTTTGTCTTCTAGCTTGGTTCTCAGGTTCACAAGAGTGTAAGCTATGCAACCAAACACTTTCATATGACCTACTGAGGGTGTCTTTTTCCTCCATGCTTCAAATGGTGTACAATTGAGGACTGCCTTAGTTGGACACACATTCAGAATGTATACAGCTGTAGATACAGCTTCACCCCAGAACTTGGTTGGCATATTCTTGGCTTTAAGCATACTTCTAGCCATTTCTACAACTGTCCTGTTCATCCTTTCAGCCACCCCATTTTGCTCAGGGGTGTAGGGTGCTGTGAATTCTCTTCTTATTCCATGTTCATCACAGAATTCAGTAAAAGCATTAGAACTGAACTCACCACCTCTATCAGTTCTAAGTGCTTTAACTGACTTTCCAGTTTGATTCTCAACTAAGGCCTTAAACTTCTTGAAGTTTTCAAGGGCTTCAGACTTGGTCTTTTGAAAATAGACCCAAGACATTCTAGTAAAATCATCAGTGATCATTAGAAAGTACCTTCTACCTCCTAATGATTCAGTCCCCATTGGACCACAAAGATCAGCATGGAGCAGTTCTAGGCATTCACGAGCTCTCCATGACCCTCCTGCAGGAAAAGAACCTCTTGATTGCTTCCCATAGATACACCCTTCACACAGTTCCAGCTTGCCAATACTAGGTAGGCCTCTAACAAAACCTCTAGCACTTAGTAGCTGCAGACTAGTCATGTTAAGATGACCATACCTTAGATGCCACAGCTTGGCGTTTTCTTCTCCTTTGACTACCAAAGCTTTTCCACTAGAGGTGGTCAGGTTCATGGGAAACAACTTGTTATTTCCCATTTCAGCCTTCAATAGAACTGCATTGGAGCTACCATCCTTGATTGTACATACTCCATTTGCAAAGGAAACTGAGTAGCCTCCTGACACCAATTGCCCAACACTCAGCAGATTATGTGCTAGGTGTGGAACATATTGCACATTAGATAAGGTTTTCTTGCTGCCTTGTTCTGTTTGAACTGAGATCACTCCTAGTCCTGCTACTTCAAGCTGCTTGCCATCTCCCAGATTGACAACACCTCTCTTAGTGTCATCTATATGTTGAAACATGCTTTTGGATCCTGTCATATGATTTGAGCAACCACTATCAATGTACCAAACTATTTCTCCATCATGATCTGATTTATGATGAGCAATAAACAATTGTTCTTGCTCAACATAATTTGACCTATGATCAGCAGTTCTAGGAGCTAGGTCTGGATTCTTTATCCAACATTCAGCTTCTTTGTGTCCATTTTTGTTACAATAGTAACACTTGATGGGCGGTTTTGGACTTGCTTGTCTTCCTCCATAGCTAGAGGATCCTCTGCCTCTTCCACCATGACTGCCTCTAAAGCCTCCTCTTCCTCTTCCTCTTCCCCTATTTGGGAAGTGCTGTTGTTGATCTCTAGGAGCCTCCCCTCGGACTTGAAAGGCTTGTTCTTCTACCTTATCACAGTCCAAGTCGCCCCTCTCTTCATAGGCTTGCAAGGACCCGGTCAACTGCTCAAAGGTATATACCTCCAGATCTTGAACCTCTTCAATGGCACACACTAGTTGCCTATACTTAGGTGTAAGGCTTCTCAGAACCTTACTTACGACCTGCTGAGGCTTAACATCCTCTCCATAGGATTTCATCTTTTGTACAATATCAGCAATCCTTGAAAGGTAGTCTTGAACACTCTCTTTATCTTTCATACGTGCATTCTCCATTTCTCTTCTAAGAGATTGTAACCGCACTGTGATTACCTTCTTGTCTCCTAAGTATTCCTTTTTGAGGATTCTCCAGGCTTCCTTTGAGGTTGAAGCAGCTGCAATGCGAGGGAAAACATCATCAGCAAGGGCTTGTTGAATGAGATATAGGGCCTTTGCATCCTTCTTTCTTTTGTCTCTCAAATTTTGATCAGGCTCCTCCGGTTGATCATCTGCAAATCCATCTTCCACAATACTCCATAACTCTTGAGATTTGAAGAGTGTTTTCATCTTCAAACTCCAGAAATAATAGTTAACTCCTGTGAACATAGGCAGTTGGTTGACTGAGTTTCCATTGCTTGAGCTTTGCATTTTGGGGTGTATTTGTTTTGTTTCTTTCGTGTATAACTGCCTGATCTAACCTATGCTCTGATACCAAATGTTGAAAGAGTTTATACACGAAAGAAGGAGGAAGGCAAATGTAATCGGAAAGCTTATCTATTAAAATGAGAAAACAAAAGGCTTAATATATATAGCCAATTACAAGAGTTCTTGACCACATAACAAGCTAACAAACTCCTACTTTGTAGCCATACTCTAACGTGCAAAACAACTCAACTATAATGCTGCAAATGCTCCTAAATAATAGGTAAGAATAGTAGACTTATTCAAATGACAATAATTAAATGAATATTAAATAAAACAGCCCAATGCTACGTATGCATGTACACATGCATGATTAAGTTGGATTATTCTCAACAAGAAAGTGGCACAAAAAGTGGAATTTTGTAATTGATGTTAGATAATGTTAAAGCAAGAAGGATTTGGAGCATGAAAAAAAAAAGTCAAATATGGAATGAGTGTTATTATGAGTTTCTGTTAACTACTCGTATAACTTTGTTATGCTGTTGTTCTAGCCCTAATGTTTTGATAGAGAACCACCCTGATTATGTGCATTTTTCGTTAATTAGTGTGTATCTATATCAATGTCTTGAGTTGATGATGATATGATTTCGGAATTAATTGTTAAAATGCGTAAAATCATATGATGGTTAAAAAAAATTAATGACATTTACTGGTCAATTGAAACTTATAATTTCAAAGTATTTATTAGTCGATATCCGTTACAAGCGGACATATTTTTATTCAATTAATGACATTTATTTAAAAGTTGATTTACTAATGTGTGTTAAAGTCTATTTATGAAAATATTTGAAAATGGCACTTTTCATAATTTCATCCAGCCCCACTCTAATTCTTGTGGTATATGATATGATGAAACAAACTAAAGAAACAAAAATGATTGTTTTGGAGTGATCGATCACCGTATTAATTAGCCAATAACAATTAGAGAAGGATATTTACTTTCTATATTAATGACATAAATTGAATTTAATTAACATATATATTCATCATTACTATCATTTATGATATTTGTATTTGAGTTGTGCTATTTTAAATAAATTTATAGTTTATTGTGCGTCCATAATAGCACAATGTGTTTGAAATATTTTTAATATATTTTATTAGTGAGCTTGAGAAATGTCGATGGTCATTACTACAATATAATTCTAAGTGATAATTATTATCTCACATTGGTATTGATTAATTGTTCCTAATATGTTAATCGCTTCATTGAATTGAGCATCCAAGAGCATGCATTGATTTTAGAATAATATTCGATAAATGTGTGAAAGGAATGTTGCATGGGTAACACTTAAGCTACGCTAATGATATGTTTTTTAGAATCACAGATTTTAAGAAGAAGAAAAAACATACCACAAGAGTTTAATATACTTCATCATGATTTGAATCTCATATGAAATTTCAATTAATTTATCCTCGTGAAGTAGCACTTTTAAGGGCCCACTTTTAAAGGTGTTTTGAAATTTCTCGTTTAATGTGCTCCTAGTAATATTTCATTGCCTTGATTATGAATGATCGATGGGGATCTTATCAGTTCTATCACATTTCATTGCATTTCTATTGCTTATTTGTATTACTATAAAAACCACTTCATGGTACTTTGAGTAAATGTAAGCATAAAGAAAAGTGCATTGGAGATTACAGGTATGTTCATGTCTCTATTTATAACTTGGTCATTTTGGAACATAATATGATTATATTTATATGATAAACTTGATTGTTGAATATTGATCAATAAGTTGATGTGACTAGTATAGCTTCAATGCTCTATAAAACATTCAAGTAAGTGATATACTTTAAGAAAATACATGATTAGAAAACATGGTATAGACTTCAACTATATTCGAAATATAGTTAAATATTGCTACAGATACACAAATAATGTCTAGCAAATCACAATTAAATCAGTTCAAGTTAATATACTCTAGAGGGAGAAAACAAACAAAAGTTTATAAATGCATATATATGAATTTATTATAAAGTGTGAGATGTCACTATAGGACATAAATTTGATGTACAAGTAGGTGTGTTGTGAATATGAAGTTCCCACATCGCTTACACATGAGATAGTGTGTGTTTATAAGCGGGGCCTGAAGCCCTTACTTGTGTACGCGTTTTAAAGCCATGAGGTCCTAAAGTACCAAAGCAGACAATATGTCAAGCTAAATTTTAAGAAATTCATTCAAGTTAATACTTCGAGTCAAGTCTTTAAGTGTTCTTAAAAAAAATTGATTAATTATTTAATAACTTTTATGTTACTTCAATAGTAGCATTATCTAATCATTAGACTCTATATTTCTAGGTGAGTGCTTCTTATTATTTCTGTGAACATATGAAATCACTATATAAATGATTATTTTGGAGACAAATTATTTTCGTCTTAGGGATGATATAATGCCTGAAGCATGTATATACTTGTGGCATAGAGCCTTATATATATTAACTTTTGATGGAATCATACACGTTAGAAATTTAATCCTATTTTAAGGGTAATAAGTATTGGAAGCACAAATTATATTTATAAACATGTTGTGCACATAAATAATAATGACTAAAAAATCTCAGGCATTGAGTGTAAGCTCTAACAAGCCACTCAAACACTGCGAAGTAGTAATTTGAAAAGTGATATCATACTTATTGGGTGATAGTTTGAGACCATACCAATGTAGTGTCAGTTGTGTTTCCACAATATCTGCCTGTAGCAGAATTCTACTCATACTATAGTATATATACTTGAATAATTTAAACATGTGTTGCATTAAGTTTAAGATTTTTGAATAAATGACCAATTTAAGGTCAACCCAGGTTTAAACCAAATGCCGTATAAGACATCCAGTATATAAATACTTCTTATATAAGAAAATGGCAAGACCATCTATTCTCCCAATATTTTAAAAAGGGATCCATGGGAGTTAAGTGAACTTGAAGTTTCACAATGTGGGTTAATAATATTAAATTTGGTCTCAAGATATGCTCTCTTGAAATATCTACATGTAATGAGTGGTATCAGTCCACTTTGCCGGCTTGTTAGAGATATTTTCATTATATTGTGATCAATGTTTCTTAGCTATTTATATTTAGCATCTTAATTTAATAGATTAGCTAGAATAATGAATAGGCCTTTTAAGGCAATTTTGTAATAAAGGTTTTATACCTTTTTAGGTATGGGCCTCCTAGGAAAAGGAGCCCAAATGATTGTAAAACCTACCTTTCCCGTCAGGCTATATATATGCCTTAAGGGAAAGGCTAGGTTAAGCTTTTCGTAACATTCCTAGTGCCGCAGTGCCTAAATCGGTGGTAGAAGTTTTACGCTAAATTGTTCATCATTCTGTAAACTTCTTCATCATTCAATGGAAAGCTTCATTCCCAGATCTGTCTTCCATACATACATATTCTAGACTAGAAAACAGGGACCTAACATCTGGTATCAGAGCCGGAGCTGATCGATCGATTGAAGGCTGAAAAACACTCCTGCGCGATTCTTCATCGTTGAAGTTTCGCACTTGAGCGATCTTCTGTTCTATTCTTATTGTTGTTTGTGCAGGAAATGGCTTGAAGGAAAAGGTTTCTACTGTTGCTAGGATCATTCCTGTGAAAAATCTCGATCTGAAATTTGGCGTACAGGTTAAGCCAGATTTGAGCGATCCTGCATTTTCGCGCAACTCGCTGAAATAGAAGAACAGGTTCGCGCAACTGGGCATCTGCGCGATTTTGAGCTTCGCGCAACCCTCCTTGCGCGATCTCGGAGTTGCGTTATTTTCACAGGTTGAGCGATCCCAACATAGCGCAAAAACAGCTCCTGCGCGATCTGTACTTCGCGCAACACCTCTTGCGCCATCTTGAAATATCTCCTGCGCGATTTCCAATTTTGCACAAACTCACTTGAGCGATCTTTGGACTTGCCCGATTTGGAGATTGAGCGATTTGGACTTAGCATTTTTTTTGTTGTTGAGCGATCCTTAGAGTTGAGCAATCTTTTTAGCATGTTGAGCGATCTTTTTACAAGTTGAGCGATCTTTTTACAAGTTGAGCGATCTTTTGCAAGTTGAGCGATCTTTTGAGAGTTGAGCGATCTTTGTAAAAGTTGAGCGATCTTTTGTAAAGTTGAGCGATCTTTTGAGAGTTGAGCGATCTTTGTAAAAGTTGAGCGATCTTTTGTAAAGTTGAGCGATCTTTTGAGAGTTGAGCGATCTTTTGTAAAGTTGAGCGATCCTTCAACACTTGAGCGATTCTACTTGCAAAGGACCTTCTGCCCAAAGTACTGAAACCAACAAAACAGAATCAAATCAATCAACTGATCAGCCCGATCATTTAACATGGATGCCCTATCTATTGGAAACGATACAAGACCCCCGATTCTACGAAGAGGGGAGTACAATGTATGGAAGAACCGATTTCTGAACTTTCTGGAGAGCAAGGACCAATCCTCAGGTCTTCTTGACTCTATCACAAATGGACCTGCACAATTGATGATAGCTGTTGAGAGAGATAATGGAAACAACCCACCGGTGGAGATTGAATGGAGACCAAAGACGGTAGATGAATATGATGACGAGGACAGAGCAAGACTCCGGGCAGATCTCATTGCCAAGACCTATCTGTTGCAGGCCATCCCGAACGACATCTATATGCAGATTGACAGCATGTCAACTGCAAAAGAGATGTGGGATAAGATCTTCAAGATCATGCAAGGCACTGAGATCGGAGTAAAAGCGAAGAAAGCTAGCACATTCACTGCTTATGACTCATTCAAAGCCAAGCTTGGAGAATCACTCGAAGACACCTACCTGAGATTTCTGCAATTGATAAATGAGATGAGAAAGATTGGCGTGCACAAGTCAAACATGGAACTGAACGTGAGATTTCTATCTTCTCTTGGAGCTGACTGGAAGAAGCTGAGCTCACAGATAAGGCACACAAAGGATCTGGATGAGATGGATATCCATGCAGTGTACAACACACTTGACCAGTATGCTGAAGATTTCTCTGACTTTGTGGTAGCCACTGTGACGACTGACAAAGGGAAGGGAGCTGTAGACAAACT